GTGCGTGGATTCGTTAAGACCGGTCGAAATTTACTCGATTCGCGGTGAAATTCGCGCGTAATAAACGTCGCGGGGGTAATAAAATCTTGTACATGGAGAGAAGCAAACTTTTTCCCGGCGGCAATATCAATTTTCCTCGCACGTTTCCCGGTGCGCGACAGCGCGAGTCAAGTAAAAGAATTCTGACACGGCGTAAAATTGGAGGAAAGAACCGGACCACCGGCCGGGGTAACAGGAAGGAAAAAGACAGGAGAAAAGCGGTATGAAATGGAATGAAAATTGTTAGAGAGGAACGCGGAATGTTCCGGGAACTGCGGAGCAGAGTAGTAATATCGTCGCGAGAAGTGCGAGATTGGGATAGATAAAGGGACCGAGAAACGGAGCGATCTGGGAAAGGAGGAAGGATACCTCGGCTTCCGGCTTTCCTTCGGATTTGCTCTCTTTCCTGCCTCGTGTCATCTTCCTTTTTTTTTTTTCCTTTTCTTTTCGTTATCCTCGTCACTAAGTTGACGTCCGCAATTGTGCGCATTCGTGCGAATTTCGAGGAAGTAAAAATTCTTTCTTAACACCCGAGAGACACCGACACGTGACCGACCTTTTGGCGGGAAAACGGGACGGTGACGCGATTTCAATATTTTCCGCCAGCATGATTTCGAGAGGCGGATTCGTAAGAGAGTATATACCGAACGACGACGACGACGTTTCGATGAATAAATGGAGAACAGAGCGCGTCGACGGAAATATCCCGACTATTCGCAACTCGGAAAGTTCGGAGGCGAGATGCTTTTGCGAGAGAAGATCGGAAAGTGCGCGGAATGAACACGTCGACGGAGTGATCGCGTAGTTAAATGGGAAGGGAGAACCAGAGAGAAATGCAGATAAAGTCGTAAAATCGCGCCCGGTTTCTTCTTCGTCTTTTTCAACTATTCTTCGAATTATTCTGTCTTGGCGAACCTTCTTTGCGGAATCAAAAGCCAACTGTTTCACCTATATAATTTTATGCGGAAAGATATAATTTTGTATATACAATATATACCAGTACCCTCCACAAGTTCGGAAACACATTTTACAGTTAAACAATCGCTTGGCAGCGAGCTGCGCAGATTATTTGTACGAGTATATCGCAAGATATTTAAATGACATTTTTATATCATCATCTTATGACTCATTATATGTTCATACTAAAAATCTGCACAGATCGCTGCGATTGTTTAACTGTAAAATGTAAAGTGTTTCCAAACGTGTGGAGGATATTGTATATATATATATATTATGTGTATTAAACGTCAAATGGAATATAATTCGTATATCTGCTTGCTCTCTAATTTTCCCCGACGAATGACAGATACATGCATGATCGTGCAATCGTGAGAATCGGTTTTCGATTGACTCGTCGACGGTGTACGGAAAGTAAAGATTCTTCTTTATTGACTGAGATGTGACAAATCGATCCGCTTGTGCGTCGCGCAGATTTGTTTCGGCGAACAAGTGACAAGAACAAGTTGCTCTTGTATCGATTAACGATTTGCTTTGTTGCTACTCGTTTTTGCTCCAAGCCTCGATGATACAGTTCTTCTCGAAGCATTAGTATTGAATTCTACTTTGTGTATGCGTGTATGTAAATATATATATGTGTGTCTAATTCAAACTAATTTTAAATATTCCACAAATAAGATATTCACAAAACATGCCATATATTTAAAAAAAAAATGCAAACACTCAAATTTTACTTTTAGATTGATGTTTTATAATTTGTAAAAAGAAAACTTTTATAATTTTTAAAGAATTTTTTCTAACAAGTATCATCGAGCTTGATGCAAAATTTAAATTACTAACGATTTCACTGATATATAAATTACATTTGTTCGTGTATAAAATTTACCCGTTATATTTGTTTTGCGAAAAACAATACTTTTTTTTGCTTATCACTCACTTGTCACGTTTTTGTTCTCGCGTTTCATATTATGTATCATTTAATTAATCCGTCCATTTATGTGTTGTCTGTCTCTTTTCTCGTCTTATTTCCGAATCCTGATCTTTCGTTTTCACAAATATACACTTCTACGCGTCTTTGCGCGATTTTAAAAACATTTAATCGTCCAAAACACAAATACTTTCATTTGACAGTTAACTATATATAGACTATGCACTAATGTGTCTTAATCTATCAATCTGTCTGAGTAAAAAAATCTACTTGCTACGTTTTTGTAAAGTGGGGCATTATGGCACACCATTGATCGACGGATCAATAGAAGCGAAATAAATCACGAAATTATTCACATATCTACGGCTATTTTACCGCAAATTACCCCAGTTTACTCGTTTGACGAATAATCAATGTCACGATCTTTGGAATGTCGGTTTAACCCTGTAATAGAGTATACAATCATGCGATTGCGTAATACTGTTCTACGTCCTCCTACGTGAATCCTGCAAGTATGTACGTTTTAATGTCAAGCACGGCGAAAAAAAACGAGTATAAAAATTACGTTAGTATAAAAATAGAGATAGTGGAAAGAACATTACGTGATTGATACGTGACACTTGCAGAATCACGTGATTTTAATTCTACGTTATTTCTTCTAACTGGCATTTAAAGTGCAGCCGTATCTCTTCTGTCCAATGTAAATGTAAATAATCTACACGTACGCTAATTATACGAAATATATATATCTCTAAGATAACGCTCACATGATCACTAAAATCAATACCCTGTGTTTGTTTTGGCACGTTTAACTTATTTATATCCTCATAATATTATTCGCGTTGTGTCAATAATTGACGATAAAATTCTTTTTCGTCGATATTTATGAAATATCATTAAACTCCGTGAAAAATAATAAACGAGCGAGATAAACGATGCCGATAAATTGGCATTTGCCTTCTCGGTTTAGATCATAAATTCGTGTAAATGTATAAAAAAGCTTATATATCTATCATTAATACTTTATACCCTGTAGCCGTTTCGTTACATCTAAATCTACGAGTTGTTACGGTATTATCGAGTGATTTACTCGCCATTAGGCTTTACGTTTCTATGCACATATTGTACGTAATATCTATATGAAGAAAAATATGGCAAACTATTAGATCAATATACTATATATAAAAAAAAAAAAAGAGAAAAACATATTGCGATGTGTTACGTTGTTGCCGTTTTAATAGATTAAAATAGTAGCACATTTTTAAAATAAGAGTTTCTCTGTCGAATCAGTAAAAATATATATACTCGAGATGAGAAACATGCATCCAATATTCAAAAAAACAATATTTGGATCAATTTTGTTATTAAAAAAAAACATGAAAGGGAGGCAAAAACTGTTTCCGATTTTTGTCTTCCGTATAAAAGTATATAGAAATTTATAAGATTCCGAAATATAATAACGTTGTGGTAAAAGCATCAGCTTGCAAAATAAATTCTCGTCCGAATTATAATTTGAATACAACACAACGCCTCGCAATCAGTTTTTTCTTTGGATTCTAATTATCAATCCCTGAATTATCGTAACGTTAATCTAAAACTCACGCGTTTCATGGCAGATTTTAAGACGATTAAATGCTTTTGCTTTGTTATTTCACATGGAGAATAATGCGTATCATAAAACGTAAACCCAGAGTTTAATGCATTTTGATATAAATAATTTGATATTATGCTATACTTAATTTTTTCCTTAATAATCCAGAACTTTGCGATAAATGTAATCATATCAAAATATTTTTTTATAAAACGACAACGATACTTTTGTATACTCTGCCATTTTTTTATGAAACATGCTTCTCTTCCATTATCTCGTAACTTATTTTGGTCCCGACTGCTTTGTTCAACGCACTTTTCTCCGCGTGAGTGCAAAAGCTGCTATTACTCCTCGTAGCTTTCTTACCACAAAAGCGATGATAAGACAAGGGAAACGACATCATCGCTTTGGCTCGTAAGGAACAACAAAAATATTTGGTTGTGCGAGAGAAACTTAGGAAGGGCTGAGCATGGTATTTCTCTCCCAGATGTGATAAAAAAATACAAATACAATAAAAAAAAAAAAGATATATAAAAATGTGTACGTAACAGGAGACAGTCTTTAATCCCGAGCTGGCTGAACGACGAGCAATTAGTTGTAGGTAAATAAATATTCTGGATCACCCACCTTGCTTCTGCTGGGATCATCGAGAACCCTATAAAGAAGGGACGCGAAAGATCCCGTTCTCACATGCTCGGCGAGAATTCTGCCGAGCACCCATTTAAAGTCAGTGTTAGACCTGTGTCATCCGACATCCATCACGAAGACAATGATACACGAGCACCACGCTTTGCTTCGTGTCGCTTTTACGCGAAGACGCGATTCGAATGAACCGAGACGGCGAAAGATTGAAGATTTTTTTTATATATTCGTAATTTTGAAAAAAAGTTATTTTTAATATATAATTAATTTTATTAATTTATATCTGTTGTTACTCATTTCTCTATGAAAGAATTTTATCAAATTCAGGCTTCTATTAGAAGAAAAAGAAAAAAAATTCTGTATCATCTGTCATATGTAATTTACATGCGGAACTAATCTCGTCAGCAAAAAATTACATTTGCAAATCGAATCCTCACGCTATATTATTTTATCGCGACGAGTCATTTTTCTTCCGTCGACTCTGTCCATTCGACGACGCGTCTCTAAAGTTCACCCGAGACAGAATGTATCAATGTAAACGAAAAAAAAAGAAGAAAAAAACAGGGGACCTAGGTCCCTTCTCTGTGTGGCTACTATACGTGGCTATTCGTTTTTTGGCTTGGTCGTGGTGTGTGGCGGCTGTTGGAAAGACTTTAAAATAAATACGTTATCTCTCGAAAGTGTTCTTTTTTGCGCGCGAAATCGAGGTGTACTGATGGTCTCATTGTCGTCATTGTCGTTGCCTGACTGGTCGTTGCCTTCAGGAGAATCCGTGACAGTTCTCACGGAACTCGAAGTAGAGATTCAGCAGTGCCGGCTCTGGCACGTCATGGAAGCACCTACCCTCGGGCCATTGTACGCAGACTGCAACAAACGAAACAAAAACCACACATACGTTACATTGTATTTCGCATTTCGCCTTAATGAAACATCTATGCAACTATTATATAAAATATATAAAATATATTTTGTTAATTATGCAATTGTAATATTCAAAATTTATCCTGATTTACTGCATTAAAATTAATTGAATCTTCTTTTTGCAATAAATGTATGTGAGGGATTATTACTATTTGCCTCCTTTTAACACTAATTGACTAGAGGCGGAGAATCCTCTCCCAAGAAAAAGCAAAAAAAAAAAACACATACGTTCCATTGTATTTTGCATTTCGTCTTAATGAAACATCTACGCAACTATTAGCGTTTTGCAATTACATAACGGCGTACTTCGATTCATTACCGGCGCGAAGAGCCCTCAATAATAAAGCTACCGCATTTGTCGCACGACCGGCGGAGATAATTAATAGGGTATTTACCGACGTTCGCAATTATCTGGCATAACACGTTAACGTTATATATATAGGACTGACGGTTATTTGAATTAAGTCGAAAATATACCGTGTTACCGTTAATAGTCTGTTAATTAAGAACGCAATTACAGGGAGAATGTAATTTCATCGTAAAGAGAAATAACGTGATCGATATGCAATATATTCTATCGATTTTATATATATATATTATGTATTACATATATATTTTATATACAATGTCACCACGGTAATTGTAGCATTTGGTATTATTGTGTACAAATTGAAAATATTATATTTCATTAATTCTTTTTGATTTTTCGGAGAAAATTGACGCAACTTAATATTGATAATATAGCGTGTGCGTGAAAAAAAGATTTGAAAAGATTGATATCAATTTAATGAACAGTTATCGGATAGCTGTGTAATTAAAACGCCTGTTTTTATTCTTTTCACAAAATTGCAGCAATAATCGCTGGGCGTGATTGATTGATTGCTATTTTAGAGATCGCTCGTATGCCAAAAATGTATTCTTCTCGCGAACGAGAACTTTATCGGGAATTTTTTTTGAAAGAGAAGAGATTCCCCGCTTCTAATCAATTAGTAAAATAATGATCTCCCACATACAACATTTATAACATTTTTTGCAAAAAAAAAAAAAAAAAGAAATTTCAGTAAATCAGGATAAATTTTGAATATTACAACTGCATAATTAACAAAAATAATAAAATAATATTATAATCAATAATTATTAAATTTTCAATTCAAATGTCAAAAATTGATCAAATAACATGTTATATTAATATTTGTACTTCTGAAGTTAGAGGTAGGATGCAAAATATACATATATATATTTCACCCAAAATGTTAACCATATCGAATATATAATGCCCGTGCTATTATATTCTAGAGATATCTCTTCTATTATTACAACGATATATTTAAAGCCAGGCTTCTCTCTCGCAAGATAAATGAAGAATAGATAATACAGATGGAAAATAGACTTTATGTTCCAAGAGATAATCAGTCTCTCGCTAATTGCCCGCGAGAATTATGTAACAAGACGATTTTGGCTCCGGTGGAAACTGCAAACTCTATCGACGCGGGCATGCATTTTCCATCATCTTATAAAACCCGAGATTGCAATTTTCTTTCGAGACGCGCGCGTCTGTATGTGTGTACGCTTCGATTTTGTTAGCGGGAGATGAATAAGAAGGCGCGGGACGAACAAAGTTTTGGTACCTAGGAGCGTGATTTATGGAGCACTTTTTACGAGATTATGCGCATAGAGATGTGCTTTAAAATCAAATCACATTTCACCAGAGCTCAGAAATATGTATGCGTTTCCACGAGTCACAAAAATTTTCCCCTCTCATATACATTTTAATGCCAGTCGGCGTTGACATTCGCCGTATTAGATGAAAGGGAGATGGGATTACGCGAAAATTTATGAACTTTTATTAATGTTCTTGTCCGCTCGCATTCTGACGCGTATCAATTATAAAGTACTTTCATTAAATTCGTTTCTATATAATTAATTGGCAACTTGGAATAATTAATTGTGAAGCGGATTGGTATTTATCAATCTCTCCGATATACGCGTGCAACATCAAAAGAATCGATACGCTCATTATTATCTGAATAAACAGATAAAATAATGTTTCCGATAAATATAGGATTATGGAATACGCAAGCAATATATATATATATATATATATATATACGAACACACACACATATATTTAACCATTCGAGCAAATATATATATTTGACTTAACACAACACGCGAACGTATGAAATCGTAAAGATATACATATATAATTTCGCGCAATTTTCTCGTCTGCCTACTCTGCTTTTTAGTGTCGGATATAAAATCTTGGGACCCAACGTCGCCTCCAGACCGGTCCACCGTGCTTAACCACGGCGATGCCTTAATGACGTATGATCTACGTGCGCGTAATGGGCCGCGATTTCGCGTCTGCCAAGCACGCCCGTGGCTCTCTGACGAATACCTACGCGGCAGGATTGATCGCGCGATTGCGTGCCGCGCGGCTGTATCTCCGGCAGAGCAGCTGTAATGAAACGGAAGGTGGCGAATTACTCGCCCTTCGTCCTCGGCTCCATCCCGTCATATTGTTCCTCTCAATGACGAGACCTCTCGGAGAGAGCTCGGTATCGCGAACGACTCCGGACGCGAGTGAATCTACACGGGGAGAATTTTCTCTGAGAATTTACCCTGAAAATCATGCAAAAATGAATTGAAATGTGACCATTGATAAATTTTTTTTTTTTTGTTTCAATTCTAAGCCTATATAATCAATCATTTATTTGAAACAAATAAATATTTTTCGTGTTACATCGGTATTATTAGTTTCAAATCGATGATTTATTAGGCAGTATTGAAATAAATATTTATTCGAATTCAATAACTTTTTTTTCAGTGTGGTAATCGTAGGACAATATGGAATTTTATGAGTTTCTCTAATCAATATTTAAGATAAACGACAATAGACTGGTATTTTTAAATAACTTTAATACAAATTTCTAGTTTTATTTATTAGCAAAATAAATGTATATTGTATAGAAAACTCTGATTTATGCGATGGAACTATTTGTTATTTTATTTTATACTACTTTCATAGATAAAGAATAACTGTCCTTGCTGCATTTAAAAGCTCAGAAAGTTTACCCCTCTCTTACAAAAATAAAAAAATATTAATATCTACCATAATAAAGATATATAAAATATATTCGATTAATTTTATCATGTACATATTAATATATTTTATTGTGATAAATATTAATCAGATAAATTCCATAACTACTATGATTTTCAGGATAAATTCTAAGAGAAAATTCTCTCCGAGTGTAACAATCGAAATTAATTTCGCTTTTCTCTAGATTCGCAAAGCCAGCGTGATATATTATAAATGACGAATTGAAGGGGAAAATTAACGACCGGGATGTAGAGCAGTCTTTTGATAACAGCTTTTATCTACTCGCCTTTGGTGAGTTGGATAATAACTAGGAGGATTATCCCCGAGATCGTCGCGCGTTTTCCTCGATAAAGAGAAATCGTCGAAAAATCCGAATTTATCGTATAAATCTAGATTTCGCTACCGACGCGACAAAAACATTTGTGTAAATTTTCATACGTAAACTTTCATGCATAAATATATTTTACGCGGTTTTTTCGTTTAGATTACAATCACGAGCATTGTAAATGCAACCGCACACTTTTGCTCCTCCATTTTTAATTAAAAACGCGCCGTTTTTAATTAAAATTTTATAAATTAACTTATTTTTGATATTAAATTCAACATGTGTATCTACACAGCGTGTATATTACATGTATTCTTTAAAATGAAGTTTATTTAATCATAATAAAAGCTTTTTATATAAGTATTTATTATATAATGAACAATTTTTTCTGTTTGTCGATCATCTCTAAAAAAATTTTATTCTCAGTCCGCAAACTTCATGAAAGTAAATTACTGATTCACGAGAAAATAAAATTAGTCCAACTTTAAGTATAAAATTTCTTCGAAAATATTATTGCGCAACCAAGGAAATATATTTCTATCGTCCAAGTGAAAGAGCAAATATTTGATACGGAACAAAGAAAAAGAAATAGTCGATGGACTAACGACGTTGTTTTTTCAAGAATGCGAATCTTGCTACATGTTATTTCGCTACCAGAAATTCCGATCCCTCTCTGGCTTCACGTGAAATTTTCCTGTGTTCTGTTCACGACAAAATTCACAGATGTATAGAATATACATAGAATGGAATAGAAATGTTTACAGAGAACTGTTCCTTTCGACCATAATAATTGTATAAATTACTCGGTACATATTATTTATTATCTAGCCGTTGTTTACGCAAGAAAATCTTGCGCAATTTTGTCACCTTTTACTCATAATTATATCCTCAACACCGTCGGATGCTCATTTTTATTTGCGAAGATATACAAGTTATTTCGGAGCAAAAGTGTAATCAGATTTTGTGAATATAACTCTGTTGCTGCGAAGAAATATTTTCGTCCCATTTTTACTCCAATTTCCGATTATTTCGATATATCGGGTCAGCACATTTTTAGACAGGACGCGAAATCCGCAAAAATAATTGCGTTCTACTTTTTTTTTTTTCATCAAGTACCATCTTAGCAGACGCGATTTCTTCGTATAAAACCGTCTATATGTCTGTCGATCTATTTATCGAGCACAATCGTGCGGTGGACAATGCGATGTCCGATTTGCATAAAACTTATCGGATCTCTCTCGCGACGCATCGAAAATATATCATGCAAATATTACGCAAACACGTTGCGCAGCGACGCGTGAAATTTCGTTCTCGCTTTTCCTCCCTTCTTCGCCCTTTTGTACGCTTTTCGTTGTTCCGCGAATTTCTCGGCGCGAAAATGCCGGCGCGCATATAAAACACGTTGTAATTCCATTAAACCTCCCACGCTTCCGGTATTAACCAACGTGGCGATATAGTATGACTATAGCGAGATCTCTCTCGCGATGGGAAGAAAAATAAAATTTTTTAATAAAA